CACCCGTCAAAGGCAGCTGCATCTCCCCCAGGCTGTCTTGCCCTGGCTGGCTGCTGAGAGGAGGGGACAGGGGGGGGGGGGCGGGTGGGGGGGGGAGGGGGGTGGGCCCCTGCCGGGACCCGCCGCGGAGCCGGGGAAGGCGGGGGTTCCCCCGGGCGAGCCGGGGCGGGGAGCGACTGGGAAGCGGAGGGACCCGCCGCGGCATCTGGCCCGACCGCGCTCCCAGCAGGGCCAGCGCCTCAGCTGCAGCAGGTGGTTGGGGGCCGTGTCCGGGCGAGTCGGGGCATCCCCAGGGATGGGGATCCCCCACCGTTCCGGGCCCCGTCCCAGGGACGCCCTGCTCGCACGGGGAAGGGCTGTTTCCTTGGGGCCGGACGGGATTTCCTGTGCTGCAGCGGTGCCGGTGCCTCTGCGGCTCTCGCTGTGCCCCTCCGAGCAGAGGAAATCCCAGCTGGATATTAGTAAAAGGTGTTTCCACATGAGCATCGGGGCCCCGAGGGGTGGGGAGTCTGGATCTTTGGAGGTATTTAAGCTTGGACTGGACAAGGCCCTGGACAGCCTGCTCTAATTTGACTCAGGTTTGGGTGGAGAGTTGGACTGAGACTTGCGGAGATCCGTACCAGCCTAAATGGTTCAATGATTTTGGCAAACCAAAAGTGTGTCTATGTGCTTGATATTCTGCATCTGTACAGGGTGTCACATAAAACTTGGTACTTGCATGATGCCGCAATCAGACTCTTAATTCTGCGGCCATCATTTAAGTAACTTTGCAGAATTTGGTGCTTGTCTTTTAATAAAATGGGCAGTAGAATATAAAGACCCCTAAATGTGGAAAAACTGCTTTTGAATAACTTCAGAAGCAGCAGCATGGGCGGGCTGAGCAATTTCAGCTCTGTCTGCAGTCTGTCAGTACACAAAACAGCACTTCTTATGACAACACAGTAACTTTTCCACTGCCAGTGTGATTTTGAGTTTGAAAAATCCTCTGCTGGATCAACTACATTTAAAGTGGGGTTTGTACCAGTATAGTCAAATCAGGCACAATAACGAGTATCTCTTTTTTGCTTGCTTCCTCCCCTTACCTGTATTTCTTTGTTCTAGTCACATATTTTAGCATACCCCGCAGGCTGATAATGTAGTCAGGAAATGTTGTTTGTGCAGGTATATTTTCATTTGCAGCAGCAAAGTAATAACTTACCGCCTTTGTTTCTGTGTCCCACAGAGCTTGTAGCTTCAGGTGGGAGTATGAGCGAGTTCCGCATTCACCATGATGTCAATGAGTTGCTCAGCCTGTTGCGCGTTCATGGTGGAGAAGGAGCCGAAGTCTACATCGATCTTCTGCAGAAGAATCGAACACCTTATGTTACCACGACTGTCTCTGCACACAGTGCGAAGGTAAGCGTCAACGTACTGTAATCACAGCTGAGATGTGTTTCAGACCTTACCCGGAGGAGCCAGCAGGACTTCCTTTGCAATTGTTGATAGAGATTCCAACGGCTCTGAGAGCACAGTACCCCCTAGGGAGAAATTCTATATAAACATTCCTCAGCATAATTTCTCTTGGCCGGTGATGTGAGCTACCTTTTCCTTATTCTGCTCTTCTGTGAGATAATTTGACTTTTGTGGGTGCGGAGCTGGACACATGTTCGGAGGGGTAATGGCTGTCCCGAGTTTTTCTGAGAATAACGGTGAAATCATGTTGGCATTGGTAAAAAAATGGGGTAATCTTATCTGGAATCTCAATTTAGGGTATAAAGTAGAAAGATTATGTCAGGAAAAAGGTAAAATCCTTGCATCTTGGAGAAATTGGTGAAAGAACATGAGAAAGATTGTTAGAACTGTATGTGTGGGAAGTTCAAAGAAGGAGCTTATTTTGTGCCTGTGATTGTAGTTTCAAATTTTAATTACAGGGGTTGTCCTCTGGAGGAATAAACCAAATGAAAAATAGTAACTGTATGAAATGTGATTATATGAACAATACCTGACTTTTTTTCAAAATATCACCCAGGTATTAGGATGTAAAGCCTGACACTCTCATGACCAGGCATGCTTCTGTGGCCATAATACTGGTTTTTATTGTTGTTTTTAAAAGCAATCCATCAGTCAAGGTATAAGTGGTAGAAAATTGCCAACTTTGTCTGAAAGTTCAGATCTTTGTAGCCTGAACTGCATATTTTCTCTAATTCCAGTCTTATGCATCATTTACACTGACAGCTACAGTTTATAGACTTGTACAAAGATTTAAGGAGGCACAGCTGGAGACCTGCAGTCCAACCCCTTGCTCGCAGCAGGGCCAGCATCACAGCTACAGCAGACTGCTTAGCTGCATTTTGAAGATCTCCAGGAGATTCCTCCTCTGTCCGTGTCCCAGGGTCACCTTTCTCCAGAAACGACTGTTTCCCTGGGGCCAGTTGGGATTTTCTGTGTCGCAATTTGTGGCAGTGCCTGTGGTGCTTTTGCTGTGCCCCTCGGAGCAGAGTCTGTAACCCCTTTGGACAACGGGCAGTACGCCCCACCGTCTCTGTGGCTCTGCACTGGGCTCAGTCCAGTTCGTTGATGTCTCTCTTGCCCCCAAAGTGGACCCAGTGTCCAGATGTGGCTTCATCAGTGCCAAATCCCTTAATAAACCTGCTGATAAAAAAATATATTGCTTCAGACTGAGCATGCGCAACACGAGCCCTGCTACAGATCTTGTACTTACCTTTCTCTTTTCTCTTCTGCAGTCCCTTCTCCATCACCTGAAGTGCCAGGACCCCCACTCTCCTCCAGCATAATTATGAGTAGGAGACCAGTGCTGCAGCATTCAGTCCAAAACCCATTCCCTGAAGTACTTCAGCAGCAGTTGCAGCCTGCACCGTGTCTCCATCCCTGCACAATGCTCCTCTCTTGAATGCTGTGATAATAATATACATTAAACATTTAACATTAATGTGGTCTTTTACAGGTAAAAATAGCAGAGTTTTCTCGAACTCCTGAAGATTTTTTAAAGAAGTACGATGAGCTGAAGTCTAAAAATACAAGACATCTAGATTCTTTAGTTTATCTACTGTCGAAACTCACAGAAGACAAAGAGGTTTGTTTCTCCTTTAGAACTGGATGTGTTATAAGTATTCAACAGTAGCAACAGTGCAGTGATTTTAAGTACAGCACGCTTTTTGATGACAGTGTTCAGCCAAGTGCATTGAAATCAACAGATAACCAGTTCTAGCATTTACTTATTTATTAAAGCCCTACTGAGAATTACACTCCTCTTGATATAAACCACTAAGGCACGGCAAACTGGGACAGAAAGACCTGTGGTCTGATTCAGCACAACCGTCTCATGGTCATACGTTTTTTGCTTTAGTGTGTGCTGACCAGCCTTCACAAAATCTTTTCTTTTTTGTGTATGTACAGACACTCCAGTATTTGCAACAAAATGCTAAAGAAAGGGCAGAACTTGCAGCAAATGCAGCAACCAGTGGCAGCACAAATTTTTCCATTCCCTCGTCTGCTTCCAAGATATCTCTACAGGAGCTCGAGGAGCTACGCAAGCAGCTGGGCAGTGTGACAGCCAACTCCAGTGTACAGCAGGTACTGTCTCTTCCCAAGCTTTGGGTACAAAATCTTTACCTTCTGCTCATGTGTATAGCTGTGCTCTTAACTTTTATCATCTAGTGGAATTATAATGTTCCTATCTGTGCAGATAATCTAAATTATCTCTCAAAATTTATTTGTCAGATTATATTAAATCTTTGTGCTGTTCTTAATAAAAATGGCCTTTTTCTATTTAAGTCCGTTAAGGTAAGTCGAGCTTAGGCCACAACAGTTCTAGCTGTCGGGGATTAATGTAACTTCATTTTCCTATTTCAAATGACTGCTTGGTCAGCTGTGCTGATGTTTCCTTTTCTGCCTGTGGCAGTGCTTGCTCAGGAGCTCAGCAGCCATTGTGGTATGTCCCCGTCATTGCCAGGAATTCTGCTCTCCAGATAATGTGGGTACAATGCCTCGTACATACATATGATGAAACCAGCCTTGTTCCACATACACTGTGAAATACATGTCTGCGCAGACTGTTTGCCTGACTCATCCAAATCCTTCATGGATGATCTGAGTCGAGTGGTTGATTTAGATCATGAAGGGAAGATGAATTTCCAGTAAGATAACTGATCTTTTTAATAGGATTTATGTGCGGACTTGCTAAAAGAGGAAAGAAAAGTAAGTGGTGTTCTCTGGGATGTGCAGTTCACAACCAAAAGAATGGAAATGGCAATGCAAGCCAATTAAAAAGATTTGAGCCTTCCTGCTGCTCCGTTTTTACTTTCTTCAGACTTAAAGAGCTGAAACTCTGATAAAAGGCCCTAATGGGCAGGTGCTTAGGGCTATTGAGTCAGTAGGGCTGTATCAACTCACATAGCTGAAATCTCTTGACCCAGAGTTTCTGCTAGAGCCACTTCCCAAGAGGACTGTCAAGTAGTCATAATAATTGTAATTGATTTATTTCTCTAGCACCTACCATCTCTACCTCTCTTCTAGAAGCCAGATTGTGCACTGGCACAAGCCCTGGAGTGATCCTTCACACCATATTAATGGACATGAGGGTCTCACTTGAGCAATTCTGTGATCCTCGTGGCACCATCTTCATTCACTGGACATGGAGGATAGTTGCCAGTGTTTCCACGGATTCGTTGCGGCACTGGTAGAAGGAACCACTGGGGTCGTTCAGTCCAGCCTCCCTCTCACAGCAGGACTGTCACCCACACTAGATCAGGGCAGCTGTTGTTTTGTCCGTCTGAGTCCTGCAGCCCCCCGGGAGGGAGATACACTACCTCCCTGCTGACCCCCCATGGCTGCTCCCCCTCTGCGGGAAGAAGTGTCTCTTCCTGTCTGATCTCAATATCCCAAGAGGCAGCTTGTGTCCATGGCTGTCTGAACCTCCTGCCACTGCTGAGAGGAGCTTGGCTTCACCCATCATCTTGGAACTTGTCCTTCCTGTAGTTGCAGGCTGCTCTTAGGCTTTCTGCTGGCCAGACTCAGCAAAGCCCAGCTGCCCCCACCACGCCTCCTTGATCGTGTGCTCTAGGTCCAGTGGATGCCCGCTGCTGCCCATCTTCCCTGGCACCAGGGCTGTAGTGCAGGGAGCCCTTTGGCGCAGTTGGCATTCATTGAGCATGAAGATGAGCTCTTTCTCTACTTTGATGAATGTGGGCACTGTCATTGCTTAAGATGCCATGCGGGTTCATCAGCATGACATTGGCAAACGGCCACCTTATCCCGTGGGCTTTCAAGTGCCAGACTGACACCTGAAGGCCACGTTTTCAGTCCTGGGAGTTTTATCCAGGCTGTCATTGAAGCCTGTAATGACAGTGGTCTAAATTTTAAGTTGCAGAGAGGAGGTGATTCATGATCCTGAGCCATGTGGTTTGTCACTGGTGCCACAGGTGCTGTGCCATCTGCCCTGTGATTACTTGGCAGTGTCAGAGAGATCATTTGGTGATCTTTCTGTGGTTGGAGTTGCTGCTTGAAACAGTTTTGACCGAAGAATCGAGGTGGTAAAAGTTACGTGTTCCTTTTCAGGTAGGTGTGTCCTTTATAGCCAAAACTGTCAACTTTTTTGAACTCTGCCAGTTAACAAATACACTCTAGAGCTGGTTGAACTCCGACAGAAGCTCCCTGCCTCTTGCCATCCCAGAGAACCACTAGGGAAGAAGAACCAGTCCCTGCGTTTGTTTCAAGGGTTC